GGTAGAGCTGCCGCTTTCAAGGAGCGGGACTCTAACCCGGACGCCTATAAGAAATCCCGCTATGCCCTCCGACGAACCATCAAACAGGCAAAGAGTCAATACAGGACTAAGATTGAATCGTACTACACCGGCTCCGACGCTCGTCGGATGTGGCAGGGCTTGAAAACTATTACAGACTACGCTCTCCGTAGCCAATGTGAGTAAGACTTTTAAGCAGGTCAACATTCACGAGGCCTCAGGGCCAGACGGATTACCAGGAGGTGTACTCCGAGCATGTGCTGACCAACTGGCAAGTGTCTTCACTGACATTTTCAACATGTCCCTGACTGAGTCTGTAATACCAACATGTTTCAAGCAGACCACCATAGTCCCTGTGCCCAAGAACACTAAGATAACCTGCCTAAATGACTACCCATAACACTCACATCTGTAGCCATGAAGTGCTTTGAAAGGCTGGTCATGGCTCACATCAACACCATGATACCAGAAACCCTAGACCCACTCCAATTTGCATACCGCCCCAACAGATCCACAGATGATGCAATCTCTATTGCACTCCACACTGCCCTTTCCCACCTGGACAAGAGGAACATCTACGTGAGAATGCTATTCATTGACTACAGCTCAGCGTTCAACACCATAGTGCCCTTAAAGCTCATCACTAAGCTAAGGACCCTGGGACTAAACAACTCCCTCTACAACTGGATCCTGGACTTCCTGACGGGCCGCCCCCGGGTGGTAAGGGTAGGTAACAACACATTTGCCACGCTGATCCTCAACACGGGGGCCCCTCAGGGGTGCATGCTCAGTCCCCTCCTGTACTCCCTGTTCACCCATGTCTGCATGGCCAGGAACGACTCCAACACCATCATAAAGTTTGATGATGACACAACAGTGGTAGGCCTGATCACCGACAACAATGAGACAGCCTATAGGGAGGAGGTCAGAGACCTGGCCGTGTGGTGCAAGGAAAACAACCTCTCCCTCAACGTGATCAAGACAAAGGAGATGATTGTGGACTACAGGAAAAAAAAGAAGACAGAGCACGCCCCTAATCTCATCAACAGGGCTGTAGTGGAACAGGTTGAGTGCTTCAAGTTCCTTGGTGTCCACATCACCAACAAACGATCATGGTCCAAACACACCAAGACAGTCGTGAAGAGGGCACGACAAAGCCTATTCCCCCTCAGGAGACTGAAAAGATTTGGCATGGGTACTCAGATCCTCAAAAAGGTTCTACAACTGCACCATCGAGAGCATCCTGACCACCTGGTATGGCAACTGCTCGGCCTCCGATCGCAAGGCACTACAGAGGGTAGTGCATACGGCCCAGTACATCACTGGGGCCAAGCTTCCTGCCATCCAGGACCTCTATACCAGGCGGTGTCAGAGGAAGGCCCTAAAAATTGTCAAAGCCTCCAGCCACCCTAGTCATAGACTGTTCTCTCTGCTACCGCACGGCAAGCGGTACCGGAGCGCCAAGTCTAGGTCCAAAAGGCTTCTTAACAGCTTCTACCCCCAAGACATAAGACTACTGAACATCTAATCATGGCTACCCGGACTATTTGCATTGCCCCCCCCCCCCCCTTTTACGCTGCTGCTACTCTGTTTATTATCTATGCATAGTCACATTAACTCTACCCACATGTACATATTACCTAAATTACCTTGACTAACCGGTTTCCCCGCACATTGACTCTGTACCGGTACCCCCTGTATATATCCTCCCTTCTGTTATTTTATTTTACTGCTGCTCTTTAATTATTTGCTATTTTTATTTTTTACTTATCTATTTTTTACTTTTTTTGTTTTCTTAAAACTGCATTGTTGGTTAAGGGCTTGTAAGTAAGCATTTCACTGTAAGGTCTACACCTGTTGGCAAATACAATTTGATTTGATTTGATTTGGTATAGATGTCAACCCTACTCCCTATCAGTCTGGTCCTAAAGGGCCCTCAGCTAAATCCACTGTGTCATTCACACACATTTTAAATACTTTATTTGAATCCACCAATCAAATTGAACATTTCAAAGATCCCTGAATGCATGGCACTCAAGGGTACAGAAAGCACCTCCTCCAAACAGCTAGGCTGCCCACGACAGCTGAAACAGAGCAGTACCTACATTTACATTTACATTTTAGTCATTTAGCAGACGCTCTTATCCAGAGCGACTTACAGTTAGTGAGTGCATTCATTCTTTTTTTAATATATTTTTTTCATACTACCTAGACAATTGCTTTGCCCTAGTTTTCGTCAGGCCCGCAATCTGGAGGCCACACACTGCAAGCCTGTGTGAGTGGCCAGACTGACAAAATATCAGCATCACCAGCTTGCACCTCCACCCGAGGCAGCTTCTCTGCAAAGGCCTGCTCCATGTAGCCGTCAAAATGAGCAGCCCACTTCGAAAATGAGCACCTCCCCCTCCCCCCACTACAACAATATCTGGCGTAGTTCGCACACAGGAAAACACATCATCATCAACATCAAACCAGCTTCCCCTTACACAATAATGTTTATGCATATGTGCTGTTGGTGAGACTACTTGTCTCACCTCGCTGGCTATCAGGTCAACAAGGCGGTTATGTCTAGCAATGTACAAATCCCCCTCACACACACACACACACACACACACACACACACACATATGGGCGCACACACACACGCACACACACACACTGCAGTGTTACAATATTTGTTTGCGTGTCTTTTATACCCTGGTTAATCATCTCATCCCTATGTAGATCCACACTCCTACACTGAGACACTTTATGAATACTGGCCCTGATGTAACAACCAAAACACAGATCAAAACATAACAAGAAGTAAAATGATACATTACCCTCAAGTATATGACTAATGATTAAAAATAAATAACCAAAACTATATTTCAAGATATTGTCAAATACTTACAGAGTGAAGTTGAAGGGGAGAGGTCTGTACAGAGAGTCAATTTACTGGTAGTGTGGAGGACTGCTAGTAAGTGTAAGTTTGTGGTTGATACATATTTAAAGTAGTCAGGGACACAAGTAGCTGATGCAGAACTGTCCTTTCCTTCCTCTTTAAGTCATTAACATGCATGACGACCAGAACAGCATGTCAGAGAAGGGAGGTTACAGTAATAGAGTCTCTCCATTACTAAAATGGACAAAATGTCCCCCATTTCCACTTTTCTTTAATACAGAACCATGTTAACGGAAATTAAATTAGCATAATAGAAAAATCCCCCATACAAATCTGTCAGTTTGAAGCTAGAGATATCTGGTTTGTTTTGCATTAGATGCGTCTCAATCCACCGCGTCCACCGATGTCACACTTCTGCATCTGCCAGGTGACAGAGCTAAGCGGTGTTTGTAAGACCATGAGACATCCCGAAAATCTGTCTTCTCATAAGATTTTTCTCTACAACCCCCACAAGCGTTTTGGGGACTCGTCTGAGTCGGTACAGTCGATCTGCCAACTTCTGTCTGGTAGCATCCGAACAGTTTTGGGCTAATATATGGAAAGGTGAGACTCTCACAAACACGTACGTGTAGGTTGTTTTGCTCTAGGAAGCCCAGGCCTCACAAGACTCGTCTGAAGGTCCCGGTACCAGTTGGAAAAAAAATACGGAAGTATATACCAGTATGCGACTGTTCAGTGCCAAAAATACGGTGTTGAAATACAGTAAAAATCTAATTACAAAATCCTGATCTTTCTTATATCTCTCAGAGATAAGGTTTCTTAAAATTCAAAATCAAATTGCAAAATTATCCTTGGTATGACCTTCTTAAAATAAATCCATATAGGAGGCACTCTTCCATCTGGTCTAAAAAATTATATCCTCTAGAAGAAACACTCATCACCATTGATGGGAGCCATCCTCCTGGGCCTGGGGGGAGAGAGAGACACACACAAACAGTATGAAAACACAAGCACCTGCATGCCTGTGCTCCTTCTGTCATTTGTCTGTCCTTTTGTACATTTCAAAAGTTGATATGAGTTGATTGGTAACACTTTAGAAATAACTCATATTTATCCCATTATAATGCTTATATATGTATGTTTATAAATGATAGTTGATGTTTTGACAGAGACAGATGTCCTTACCCTGTGGAGACGTACTGGGAGGCTGAGGAGGTGTTGAGGCCTCGAGGGTTGGTCCTCTGATGAGAGGGAGGGGTTCTCTGCATCCAGTGGTCTGGGTACCTAATCACCAACCTGGTGCTATCCAGCTCCACCCCATGTACAGGAGGACAACAGCATGCACATTGGCATTCTTGAAGTTGATGAAGGCACAGAATCTCTCACGTAGAACACTGATACTCTCTATCTCCCCACACCTGCAGTACAGAACATAGAATTAGAATGTAGAACTCTGATACTCTCTATTTCCCCACATTTACAGTACAGAACATATAATTAGAATGTAAAAAAATGATGATTCCCTTTCCATAAATGTTCATTGGATTAGAATGGGGACCGGCGGCCATTTTGTGTTAACCATTTCAAGTGTTAATGTTATGTTACTTGATGATTATCACACCACATCATGTAAGAAAAAAGAAAGTCACAGCAGAGAAGCCTAAGCAGTGAACGTGGAGATAGATATATATAGAAATAGAGTTGAATACAGAAC